CTTCTGAAGAGAGTTGCTCATATTCATCCGACACCATGTGGCCACAGAGTGGGAACTCATCCACTTTTGCCTTCTTCCGACCCAAGTCAAAGATGCGGATCTTGGCATCTGAAAGAGGCGCCAAAAATTGAGGTTGGCATATGTCTGCCACAGGCTTTCAGCATAGCAAAATCAGTCCGAGTGCACTTCCACTTACCAGGGACACCTCTGCAGAAGCGGGATTTTGGATAGGGCTTGTTTTTACAATACCGATAACTGCAAAGGAGAAAAAGAAAAACCCAGGTACTTAGGGATTGTTCACCATCGAGGTCCTGAGGGAAGGCCAAAAGGTTGGAAACAGGTAGGTGCATGGAGGTGGGTGGGTGGTATCAAGCCACAAGGTCAAAATACCCGTGTTGGAAAAACAAAACTAGTGTCTTTTATCCCTATCAGGCTCACAGTGCCATTAAAGCAAATTATCTTGCTCTTTGATGCACAAAGTACTACAGATGAGCCAATCGCCACTTGTCCAGTTCATGCTTTCCACCAAATACTTTTGGGCACGTGGCAGTAAAAGAGCCACTGAAATAAGCTTAGCGACTGCGGCGCCCTCTGCAGGGCTCACGAGGTGGTTGCTCAGGATTGTCTCGAGTTGCCCTTGGCACATGTCCGAGAAGACCGCACAGCCCGATGCCTGGAAATAAGGAGGTGTCCACAAAGGATCAAAAAGGAACCGATCGCAAAGTAAGGGTAAATATGAAAGCCAGAAAACAAGCAGCACAGGGCCGGGGATCCTCGCTTTAACAAACACCCAAAGAAGCGTTTAAAGGCCGACTTTCTCTCAGAAAGATGAACGAAGGCATCAAGATCCCTCCCAGGGCCTGCCAGTTACACTAGGGGGGCTCTGCTTAAGGGTTCTTTTTCAGTGGCTAGGTTGTTTTCCTTTCCCCAACAAATAGAGGGGATTTGGCACTCACCACCGGGCTGGGCGGCGGCCCATGGCAACACCGGGATCTTTGTGGCTGCAACGAAACAGACAAGGTCGGAATAGAACACGAGGGCAGGCCTGGAATGAGCGGAGGATAGCTAGCAATGGAGGACCAGCACCTGATAGCGAAGCTCACTCACCGCGCTGAAGGGAAAGAGAAGCGCCCACCCCTGCGCACTCCTTATATAGGTGGCCCATCGTCCTGCGCGACAACCATAGAGTCCAAAGGTGGGTGTGGGGACGTTCTTTCACGACGTCATGACCATAGAAACAGCCTCTCTACGCCTCCGTTTATAGTTCAGCACATGCGCAAATCGCGGAGATAGGTGGGGCCAGGCGAGGCTGGATGGTCAGCCGACTAATCGGGCCCGACCACATGGGTGAGAGAGCTGTCCCTCCGCAGCCCAGAGCTCTCTCCCTCACCCCAGCTTTAACTGTGAAAGAACATTTAGGGTTCATAGAAGGAGGTAGGGAACACAGCCTAGGACACACCTGGCCCTACAGGCGCTCCTGGGACAGGTATGAACCAGGCCACGGCGCCTTCGTCTGCTTTTGTCAGCAAAGACGTAGGAAGCTCGCCGCGCGCGCTCACGGTTCCAGCCCGGGCTTGCCGAGGCGGCACCCGGGGCCAACACAAAGCTGAGCTCGAGCACAAGGCCGCCGGGCCGGCGCGAGCCCGCGCCCGCAGTCCCCGCCCCCGGAGGCGTCCCGCCTAGTGGACGGCGGGGCCGGGGGGCCATCCCAACGGGGAAGGAGGCCGAGCGACCCCCGGCGGGCGAC